GTCCTCTGAGGCAGTATCCATTTTCAGTAGTAAGGCTAAAGGGAAGGATAATCGCGAGAGAAAAGTACAAAGAACATAAAGGGCTTACAGTTAGCCTTTGGTGACTGGGCTGGAGCCACTGCCACTTGCTTGGCTTCTCATATCTGTTTCCATTGAGCAAGACCCATCTTAGGCTCCACCACCTGGGACCTTTCTCTCTTACTGAAACTTCCAGATTCAAGGTTCCCAGACCCCCTTGGTTCCTCTCGCTTGCAGTCTGAGGAACTTTGACCTTCCCAAGGAAACGGGCAAGGCTGTGGACATTGATAAAACGTAGATTTCCCACTTTGGGGGGCTCTCCACTCCCCCAGCAAGAAGGAGCTGTGTTTACTACACTGCACACTTAACATCAACCTGTAACACCTGTACTGAGTTACACACAAGAGGAGGCCATTCTTTTACACTGATATGAACTGACAAAGAACTTATTGTTATACAGGAAGATCTATTGGCCAAAAACAAAACAAAAAGAGAGAGAAACATTTCTTTCTTTCTTTGGATTTGAGGAGGTTGGAGCAGGGAGAATTTCTTTTATCTGTGCTCTAAGTTGGCAAAATGGCAAAACTGTGGCTTCTAGAAGGGGATGACACACAGATGGAGTAGGTGGTCTTGTGAGTTTTGTTTACAGGAGAGGACATGTTCAAGATTCTACCAAGATAGAACTGACCATCGGATCTCCCCGGAGAGAATCCTGTCATATCCAGCACCAGGCACACACGCGAAAGGTTGGCCAGACTCTATCAATCTGCCATCCCTCTCCAGGAAAAGGCCACAAACACAGAGAACAGACTAAACTCATTATCTCAGCCCAGATCTTTTCTATAATCTAGATATTCTTATTTTGAAATTAAAAAGTGACAAGTGTGTCTTTAGCTACAGGGCAATCTAAATATAATAATGCTACATATTCATGTTTGAAATAAAAAGCGGCCTTCACTGGATGTGACTGCAGGATCTCCAACAAGCATAGCCTAAAAGTCTGTCGCAAGTATATTGGATGTTTCAGTTTGCCAGACCTGTCATGATAAATTAATTACAGGATGTTGCAGAAATGGCACAGCTCCAGCAGCGTCTTGCATAGTTTAATATAGCCCCATTTCCCCATTTCAATGTATCTGTGGTTAGATAAATCCTCAGAAATTTACAGCTGCTATAGACTAGTTTATTATGTACTCTGCCTGCACACATGATAAGTACAATAAGAATGTGATGTTCTTCAAGTGCATAGATTTTACTGACAGGTCTTTACCACGATGGAAATATTTAGTTGCTAAAAGTAGCATCTGCAGATACTTCTGAACATTAATTTCTGTAAAACAGGCAGGGATGGTTAAAAATATGACCGTGCTTAGCCACCTTCCATTTGCTTTAAATTGAAGAACTGTAGCTCAGAAAAAAATTATGTGGAGTGTTTATATAAAATGGTCCTGTGAACAAACAGAAAAAAAAATCTACTACTGATTCTCAGTTGAAAAGACTGAAAAACTGAACTGAAGCTACCATGCTTTTCTCCAGGGAACCGTCTTCCTTCGGTCTCATGATTGCTTTCTGCAAGCTTCAGTTATTCATTTTTGCTCCAGCAACATATTTCTATAAACAAACCATTCCTACAGTTTCCTCTACCAAATTCTTCCACAATTCTTGACAAAGGATCATGTGATGATGTAAGAAGAAATGAATTAGGATAAGAAAAAATCAGATTGTTCAGTACTTTTCGAAATGACACAAGTATATATAGTTGGACCATTCTGACATAGTAATAGAGGTGGAACATTTATTATATATGGTTATAGATTTTCTAGATTGAGAAGAGAAATTAAAATTGTAGATTTTTAGCAGCATTATCCTAACTTTTTGAGACAATAAAAATAACCCATCCATAATCAGAATGAATTTGAGGTGTTAGATGAGCAACTTTAGAAACCAGGCTGTTCAGAACATATGCTTGATGTAGATTTGAAGGGGATCATTAGAGAAAAACATTCTTTGTGTTTACAAAACAAATGTTTTTATGTTATCCAGTTCCCGCCTTAACTTAAAGTATTTCCTATTCACTTTAATAATTAGAGCAGAAGGATAGGATGAATGAAGTGCCTCATTACCAAGTTTGCTTTCCGGGTGTCTGCAGAGAGTAGCTGTCTGCTTTTGCCTACTTGGTCCTTTAACCCTAAATGATGCTGACATCCAATTCCCCTACAGATCATTGGGTCCATCCATAGCTTGAGTTCACCAGTCAACATAGCCTTTTGATTGACACGACTCTTAACATTTTTATTATGCCTTATATGACTGGAATGGCGCCTTTGCTGCTTCTTGAATAATATGTTACTGTATATGTATTAGTTTGATTCCACCACATAACCTATTTCTTAAGGAAATGTAAAAAATACTGCATGGCATAAAGATTTACCAAAATAATTATGGATAAACAATCAGTTAAAAAATAATTTTTACTCTGATATATTTCATTTTGTTTAGGTCACTGTTGTATTAAAGGCATATTAGATGTTTCTAGTCTCTGAAGGTACATCCAAATGGCTTCTTCAGTTACTTTCAGATGTGCTGGAGTATCCGGCTGTAATCATTTACTGGCTTACTCTAGATAACAACTGAGATCCAGCACTTCAGAGAGCTGCCAGTGGAGGCTGAGAACCTCCATTTATAGCGAGCCTGACCCTTACTGCCCATGTGCACTTGAACTCGGTACTGAGCCTTCAAAGACCTGGTTTCCTTATTTGCAGGGCAGAAAAGATTTTATCTACCTCGTGGGTTCGATGCGAAGTGTAAATGAGGTCATGTACATAAACTGAAGATTTGGGGAATGTTTTCTGTAGCTAAGTTCAATGAAGTAGAAATTAACAAATACATAGCTTAAAAAAGTTGCATTGCTGAAAAATGTTCCCATAATTTACTTAACAACATGGCTGTCATATGGAAATCATTTAAATATATAGAAAAGTGTAAGGTCACAATTTTTTGTTATAGTTTCTAGAATTTTCTAACCCTCTTAAAATTTTTGTGAGTTAAATACATGACTAAAGTGGCATGTCATATAAAGCTATAAAATAATAAGTTATCTCCCAGATATAGTCTTGTTGAATTTCTTAGGGACACAATGTCTTTCTGTAACTTAAAAGTAAAATTAAGGTCAAGTATTTGCTTTTATGGAAAGAAACTTTATACAAGATTTCAAAAGTACCAAGGGCTAGCCCTTTAAAAACATTCATTTCATTTAAAATGTGCATTTTAAACATGAATTTACATTTTTAATATAAGATATTTCATGTTTTACATCTTTGAAAAACTTGACTTTTATTCTTTGTAAATCCTATTCATCGATAGGTCTGATGCTGAAGAATCCTTAATCACCAAAATAGAATAGAATCAATAATTGGAAAATAAATTTCTAAGAATGGTTTAAACTATTATTTAGATCTAGCAAAAGATAGGTCAAATTTTAGTTGGTTGGAGGAAAAAAAGTCTTCAAAAATGGGATAAAATTTAATAATTTCAGAATGAAGATAAAACAAAGAAAACCAACTTTTTACTAAGAAAATGTATAGCTGTAAATCATCAAATGGAGTTTTATGTCTGATCCCTCTGCTTGACTATAATTTGGAATTATACCTTGGAGGGCATTTTATGGTCTCCCCCACCCCATCTCATTTCAGGGAATGTGGTTAAAGATGTTTTATTAATCTATTAGTGAGCATAACCCAGTCTTGCTTTGTCAACAGGACAGAAAAGAACTGGGCTTTGAGAAGAACCAACTTTTCCTGGTGTTTGCCTCAAGTGTTATTTTTGTCTTCAGTAGTTGCAATATCACAATCACCTCTTATTTTTTGTATGAACATTGAGACCTCAGCTTTAGCTCCCCTGACACATTATTTCACTTGTCATGATTTAAAATCTTTCTGCAACTTGGTGAAATCCCTTGTTTTTAAAACCAAAATGAGAATTGGCACACATCTCAAAACTATGAGCTGAAACTGTAGAGAGACATACTATTTTTTTTATTACCTAGGGCATTCACGAGACAGAAAAAAACCAAACTTTTACAAGGGCCACTCAAGCTGCATGGGCCTAGCTGTACCCGAAACACAGACGTATGCATCTAGGACAGTGAGAACTCAGTGCTATCGGAACCATCTTTCGTGCTGATCGCTGAGGGCTTCAGCAGTCATCAATGCCACTCACCACTTTCAAAAATGCCCCCGCCCACCAGTTCTACACAGCAGGGGCATATTTACCAATGTTCATGCCTCTACAACATGTGCAGGGATAACAGCTAAATATATTTTTACCCGAAGATATTTCACACCGGGTATACATCTGGGCAAAATTTACACCTCAATGCCCAGCACTGTTTTTCTCACTTCTTTTTTTTTTTTTTAAAGATTTTTATTGGGGAATTGGGGGGATGGGAACAGCGGTGGGGAATTGGGGGAAGGGGAACAGACAAGTTGCTGTCGTTTTTGTTCTTCAGTCTAGTTGTGGAGTATGTTGCTTCACTGGCCCAAGTTGGCACCATCATTGCGCTCTTCCCGGGCGAGGCAGATCAGTCGCAGGTTTCTGGACGGCCGCTCACTGCGGCTGCTGGCCGCTCACGCTGGCTGCTGGCTACACACGGTAGCCCATGGCAACCCACTGCCACTGGGGCTGCAGCCTACGCCGCCGGCAACTCACAGCAGCCCAGCTCCAGGTTGAGCTGTTGTTCAGCATCTTAGCTGTGGAGGGCAGTGTCACTGGCCCTCATATGTGGGATCCGAACCGGGGCCCTCTGGTGTCCCAAGCCAGTTCTTAACCGTTGCGCCACTCGGCCGGCCCTCACTTCTTATTTTAAGGGAATCAATTGTCTAATTTGGTAAATAAGTATTCTAATTTTATATTAGTTTTGACCTTTTTGGGGTTAAATATTTTATTGACAGACTTATGATCACATAGTTGAGAAAGGAGAAGAGTCAAGAAGAAAAAAGGAACGAAAGTTTATTATTATAACATCACACTTCAAAATATATAGTCATATAGTAATGACACCTTTATTCTGGAACTAAAGAAATAAATAATGCAATGTAATAATTTTTAAAAAATATTAAGACTAAAATAAATATTGAACAATGTCAGTCTATAAATCATTTACATACTTAAATATGAAATGCTTTTTTTTAAAGTAAAGAAATTTGGACTACTGTTGCCAGTCTAGCCAAAAGACATTTTAATCTCTATCAAGTTACATATATAATTCATTCAAAACAAACAAATTTGTTCCCTTTTAATGCCTGCCTTCCTTACAGGAAGTATTTTGAGTACACAATATTTTGAAACTGTTTATATTTTAAATACAGTTAAATTTGAAAAGCAGATACTTAATGTTTTGAGCATAATGTCATATATCTATAACCACATTGCAGATGATAATAACCAATTACAGATATAATAATATTAAGTGATTACTTAATGAACACCCTAACAATGCTGACACTTTTGCTTCACAGTTGCTGAGCAGCAATTATGGCTTTTTCTTTATTGGTTTTCCAATAGAGGCAATGTAATTTTGATGCAATTACTAATAAATACAAGTACCAATACTTTGATCAACAACAATCACAATGGTTTATAACAAATAAGCTCAAAAGGCCACATTTGTTTTTCCAAGTGTACCTTGCTTCTGATTTTTCTAGATTCTTTCATAAGAACAAGAATGGTGGAGGCTTCCTTTCTTCCTTAGTTTCTGAAAATTCTGAACTTTGAAGAGCAATTCCATTTGGTTTCTATTGTCATTTCATTTCTGTGTATTTGGTTTTTTTGTCTCTTCATTATTCTTCAACTCTTTACTAAGAGAAAAGAACATAAAATATACTAAGTGAATTTAAACAATGTTTTCTGGCCATCATCAAATCTTGGCATGCCCAGGCATAACAACACAGGTAATAACATACACTGTGCAACACACACACACACACACACACACGCCCAAAGTATATCTTCTAGTTTGCCTCTTGAACGTAATGTTAACACTTTTAGTATCATCAGCAGTTGCTTAAAGCTTGCTCCAGCATTGACAAGTTAATATAAGCAAAAAAGAAATACAGTAAAACCTTGGATTGCGAGTAACATGATTTGCCAGTGTTCTGCAAGATGAGCAAACATTTCTAATACATTTTAACGTGGTAAACGAGCAATGTCTTACAATAGGAGTAATTTATTTCCGGAACAAATTATGCTCGCAAACCAAGGTGTCATTGTACACTTCTCAACTACAGACACTAAGTACTCCAAACCCTGGGTAACTTCCAGGAATTAGTAGCAGGTAACCAGAGTTTATAAAATTCTTCATTCATTGGGGGGAAAAAAACCCCATCATGGATCACGCTTCAGAGTTAGTGACTGAAAAAGATACGGGCCATTTTGTTCAATAGCATTCTTTCGTTTAGTCTATGTGGCCGTGTCTACTTTTACAAGTGGGTAAACCATTATCTATTTTTTCAAATAAATCCAAAAACTCTGTGTTATTTTTGATTTGACAAAGACAGTGATGGTTATGCATCTAGATGCAGCTTTGAGATAAAACAAATTATACCATTAATACAAACCAAGAACCAATATACAGATGAAACGAGAAGCTGCTTCTTTAGAGACCATTAGTAAGTATACTACAACTGAGGGTGATAAACTAATGGGGTCGAGCCTGAAGTTGTTTTTTTTTTTTTAAAGATTTTTATTGGGGAGTTGGGGGCATGGGAACAGTGCTGGGGAATTGGGGGAAGGGGAACAGACAAGTTGCTGTCGCCTTGCTCTTCAGTCTAGTTGTGGAGGACGTTGCTTCACTGGCCCAAGTTGGCACCATCATTGCGCTCTTCCCGGGCGAGGCAGATCAGTCGTGGGCTTCTGGACGGCCGCTCACTGCGGCTGCTGGCTGCTCACGCTGGCTGCTGGCTACATATGGTAGCCCATGACAACCCACTGCCACAGGGGCTGCAGCCTACACCGTCGCCAGTGACTCACGGCAGCCCAGCTCCAGGTTGAGCTGTTGTTCAGCATCTTAGCTGTGGAGGGCAGTGTCACTGGCCCTCATATGTGGGATCCGAACCGGGGCCCTCTGGCGTCCCAAGCCAGTTCTTAGCCATCGCGCCACTCGGCCGGCCCTAGCCTTAAGTTTTTAATGTGATTATTGATGTACTAGTGATGAGTATGTGGACTTACACAAAAATGTCGTCCTTTCTTTCAACAGAAAGGGTTTAACACTTGGTTGCTCTAAGAAAACAAACGGCAGCCTAAGAATGATGGCATTTTGGTTAAGGTGTGGTCGATTCCATCGATCACTCCTGAGAAAAGTAAAGGCAAGAAAGGGCAGGGTAACTATTTCCTGCCCTGGTGCACAGGGCAGTTCGGAAACATCTGTGCTTTCAGGGAAAGGCCCGAAGTGTTTAAGTACACTTCGCATTATCTTTTCTCATGACAAACATTTACATGTGAGGGAAAAAAAATCCTTTGTCAGTCTGTGTTTCCTGATGTTAAATTTGTTAAACAGAGCTACCACAGTGAAGCTCACGAAAGCAACTGAAGTACAGTATAAAATGGTACAAATATGGTGTGTTCAAGGTACAATCTCATTCGGGGCAAAAAAAGGGGCATCTCTTCTGTCCCTGTGCATAGATAGGTGAAGTATATCAAACTTGCCACAAATTAGGGTCTGATAAAAATGGGGAAGAAAGCAGTAAAGGCTCAAATGGATGTTGGGTGCAAGTCACCCAGAGACCCTAAAGACATCTCCAAGGGACAGTGAGGAAGGTAAAAGGATCTCAGAGGAATAACAGGGTAAAGCAGAGAGGAGGGTTTATGAGAGTGGTAGGACAAAAATAAGAAGGAAAACAGAAAAGGGAAGGGCCAGAGATGGAGAAGAGCTGGAAATAGTGAGACAGATCTGCACGTGCAGAAGATGTAGGGCAAGGTAATCAGGGGGAGCCTGCACTGGCAGAAGTACACAGCGAAGCCAGGAGGACCCTCAGGAGAGGAAACCCGAAGAGAAATTTAACCAGAAGAAGCTGAAGTAGGCAGTAAAGATAACATCTTTCAGGGAAATGAATCAGAACGAGAAGCGGAAGGAACACTGGACAGAAAATGGCAAAGATTGCCCATGAAGGGGAGAAAAGGGACAGAATAACAGGACAAGGAGAAGAGCTAGTCAAGGGTAGGCTCTGACCAGATAGTCCCCCATGACAACCGCAAGAGTGGCACATTGTCATGATGAATGGTGACAGCACAGGCACCAAAAGGCTAAGAGATTTGCTGAAAGGGAAGGGATGTCACCTAACAAAAGACACAAGAATGAATCCAAATCCAGTCTTCCTCTAAGTTATCTCCTCCTAAAGTACCCCGGTGAGCTCACAGAGGAAGAAAGTGAGCACCTTTTTTTTTTTTAATTGGGGAATTGGGGGCTAGGAACAGTTGGGGAATTGGGGGAAGGGGAACAGACAAGTTGCTGTCCTTTTGTTCTTCAGTCTAGTTGTGGAGGAAGTTGCTTCACTGGCCCAAGTTGGCACCATCATTGCGCTCTTCCCCAGGCGAGGCGACCTGAACTTTCATCAAGAACTCATGGCTCTTGCATCACGACAATGCACCAGTTCAAACGGCACTGTCTGTGAGAGAGTTTTTAGCCAGTAAACAAATAACTGTATTGGAACACACTCCTACTCACCTGATCTGGCCCCCACTGACTTCTTTCTTTACCCAAAGATAAAAAAAAAAAATATCGAAAGGAAGACATTTTGATGACATTCAGGACATCAAGGGTAATACGACGACAGCTCTGGTGGCCATTCCAGAAAAAGAGTTCCAAAATTGCTTTGAAGGGTGGACTAGGCCCTGGCATCAGTGCATAGCTTCCCAAGGGGAGTACTTCGAAGGTGACCGTAGTGATATTCAGCAATGAGGTATGTAGCACTTTTTCTAGGATGAGTTCATGAACTTAATTGTCAGACCTCATAAATGTTACATAGATTAATCAAATCTTTAGTCACAGAAATTGAATTTTTTCCTTCTATTTTTATTTTTTAGCCATAAAATATTTATTGAGTATCTTTTTCTATGGTAGGGAATTCAGGTAGCGGAGAAGCCTAGTAGAAATACTGGAAAGAGCTTTATTAGTTATAGGTATCATAATAAATGTTAGGAGATAAGAGGTCTTGGTGGTTTGCTATTAAATGTCTATGTAGCCTTGGTCAGGGTCCTTCTGTTTTTAAAACACTGCTTGAAGGAATAGTCTTTTAGTTGAATCTCTGCATGTATACTTGAATCTTTTCCTACAATAGATCCCTTGGAAGTAGAACTGCTACGTCAAAGGACATGAACAATTGAAAACTTAAAAAAAAAAAGCATGACCAAACTACCCTCCACAAAGATTAGATCAGTCTTACACCATTACCAGCAGCGTTTATTAACACTAGGTATTGTAAGTTTGAGACTTGTTGCCATTTTGTGAGGGAAAATATATAATTTATTGTTTTAATTTCTATTAATTTGATCACTGGAACGTGGGCATTTTTCTTATGTTCATTGCCATTTACATGTATTCCTTTAAGAACGTCCTGTGCACACCTTTTGCCAATTTTTCTGTTGGTGTCCTTTTCCTTGTTGATTTTGTAAAGCTTTTTATATGTTAAGAGTATAATATTAACCCTTTATCTGTCATGTATTTTATGAAATTCTTCCACATCTTATTGTTTGTTTTCAGATTTTTCTTATGGTGGTTTTTTTCTCTTTGACATATAGGCAGGCCTCATTTTATTGTGCTTTACTTTATTGCACTTCACGGATATTGTGTTCTCTACAAACTGAAGATATGTGGCCATCTTGCGTTGAACAAGTCTATTGGTGCCATTTTGCCCAACAGGTTCAGAGGGTGGTTGGCATTTTTCAGCAATTATTCTTAATTAAGGTAAACACATCATTTGTTTTTTTAGACACAATGCTTTCATACACTTAATAGACTACAATATAGTGTAAACATAACTTTTATATGCACTGGGAGACCAAAAAATTCGTGACTTGTTTTATTGCGGTGGTCTGGAACCCAACCTGCAATATCTCCGAGTTATGCCAGTACATCATTTTAAAGTTCTATTATTTAAATCTAAAATTGTATTTCAAAATGGTTTCTGATTCTGGTATCAAGGTTAAAAAGTCATTCCTTAACCAATGGTTATATAATTATTGATCTGTACAATTAGATTTTATTTTTTTACAATTAAAATCTAAAAGTACTTATGAAAAATTTGAATCTAGCTCCCAGAAAGGGACAGTTTCATAAAAGTGGGTGTGGCAGAGCTGTATGTACCATTTCACTTTCAGCAGACAAACTTGAGTTCAACCTAGTAGGGGAAACAGAAGCCTTCTGAAAGGCCTTTCCTATACGCCACCCTCTCATCCCAAAACATCGCCATTCAAACACATGTCGTCCCACTTGTCTGTCTCAGTGGAAACTGTGCCCCACCACCCTCGTCTCAAATTCTAATCCTGTATATTTCCTTAGGCCCCGTGGGATTCCACCCGTAACCTATACCTCCAATGGCTCCTTTCAAGGAATGCTCTCCTCTCAGTTTGTAACTATTCCCCTCTCTATAAAAGATCCTTTCTACATCCTGTGAACTCCACTAGCTATTGCCCAGCTTTTTCTTTCCTTTGAAGTCAGCTTCTTAGAGAAGCAGTCTGTTCTGGTGGTCATTTCTCTTTGGACTGGAGGCAACCCGATTCATGCTTCCAGGACTCTCCATCTAAACCATGCTGTCGAAAGTCACAAATGGTGTCTTGGCTGCAAATCCCAAAGGGCATTTTTCAATCGTTATTTCACTTCTCCTGTTTTTGGCATTTGTCATTGCTGACCATGCCTTTCCTAAATCTCTTCCTGTTGACGCTATGATACAACTTGCTTAGTTTTCCTCTTACCTCCATGAGGGTGACTTTTCGGCCGGTTTGCTCACTCTTCTTCCCCTGCGTATCTTTCACGTGTCCTCGGTCTGCATGGCTCGGTTCTCTGCCCACTTCAGAACTACAGGAAGGAAAGATGAGAAACAAGGAGCCAGTAAGAACGCTACTGCAACAGCTCAGATGAGGCTCTGATATAAGAAAGTGGCAGTGGGAATGGGAAAGGGAGCTAAGTAGGAGGATCTGAGAGAAAAACACTTGACAGACTGAGTATACACGTGGGTGTGAGACAGGGAGATGCTCAAAATAATTCAGAGACATAAAACTTTAAGATGGTTGGCTGGAATCCTTAACTATGATGAAGGAACAAGAATAAAACAAATTTTACTACTCTCAGAAAGATGCCTAGATAAAACCAGAAAGATGTTATCAAATTAAATGAAAAAGTGCGTGTGCTTGCATACGTATGTCAAAGTATGGGAGATTCCTTAATGACAAAGGGGAGATGATGATGAGGTGAATGAGGGAAGCAAGCCAGGGCTAACAGCAGGACTGTGGCGAAGTGGAGAGTGGAAGGCCCATCCAAGGGAGGCGATCTAGTGTTGCAGCTCCACTGATGGGTGCCATGAAAGAAGGTGAAGTGTGGTTCAGGACTTCAGGTTATTTTAAGAGAAGTCAGAAATCTGCATTTAAGTGATGCCTTTTTATATTTGGACAACTAATAAAATTACACATACACAGTGGACCCAAATGAAGATAACAGGACTAAATCTTGCTGGCAGGCCCCAGTTTTCAACCTGTTTCAGACACAGAGCACCCTGCTGGTCTCTGGGTATCTCAGGCACTTATACATCTTTGTGCCTTAGCTCCTACAATCCTTTTGACTTCTAGGTCCTTCTCTTTTTGTTCACTCTGTTTCTGCATGGTCTTTAAGACTTAAATGCTGTCTTACATCTTTGGTTTTTCCTGACCACTGTGGGAAAATCAGACTGTATGACCCTCTCCACTGTTTCGCTACCATAATCTACGTGCAATCTAACAGAAGTCTACCTTGAAAATACATACAACGGTCTGAACTTTTGCATGCAGCCAAGATGACGTAACAGGGACCAGATTTACCTCTTGCCTAACACAACAACAACAAAAAACTGGACAAAATATATGAACCAACAGTTTTTAAGATACTGAGTAACAGGCAACAAAGAACAGCAATCCCTAAGATATGGGAAAAAAATGAGATGAGCCCGATGAGGGCCCAGTTTATTACCCTGAGAGACTCCAGGTCATGGCACAGGGAGAAGAAACCTATGTGAAGCACGGTGACTCCCTGAGTGGGAGCTGGTGTGCAGGGTGACCAAGGAGGGTCGAGTTCACAGAGTGCCAGAGATGAGACAGCCTCATAGAGAGAGAACATGAAGACCTGCAAAGGGCTCCCTTCAAGGATTCAGTAAAGGACTGATGAGTGCATGCTCATGAGGAAATCACCTGAGGCCAGAACCAGGGCCTAGTCCCATCGGGCAGGTTGGAGAACCTCACAACGCAAAGGGCCCTGAGTACAGAAGGGATCTGTGTCAACAGCGAGGAATGCAAAGACCTAGACTACAGATGGTTGTGGTCCTGCCTAACAAACCTTAAAAGACCTAAAAGAATCACGCACTGTTTCTAAGAAGCTTAAAAAATTCTAGAACAGAGCTTAAGAATACTTATAGGAATTCAAAAGTATCTAGCGGCCACAAGATAACATTTTCAATGTGTGGCATCCAATAAAAATGTACTAGGGAGGCAAAGGAATAGGAAAATAACACCCATAATAAGGACAAAAAATGAAACCAGCCCAGAACTGACACAGATGTTAGAATGATCAAAGACATTACAATAGTTATTATAATTGTATTCCACCTGCTCTACAGGTTAAGTAGACACATGGAAGATATACAGAACACCCGGACTGAATTTCTAGAGTTGGAAATTAAAAGGCTTGGCATGAAAAATATACCGGATGGAATTAAAGGCAGATTAGACATTGCAGAGAAAAGATTAGAGTTGAAAGACAGAGCAGTAGGAACTATCCAAGATGAAATGCATGGAGAAAAAAGAATTAAAAAAAAAATCACCAAATTACAAAATAGTCAATGAGCTATGGGACATCTTCACATGGCCTAATATACATTTAATTGGAATCTTCAAAGAAGAGAAGAGAAATAATGGGGTACAGGAAAAAAAGCAGAAGAAAAAGTGGCCCCAAATGTTCCAAATTTGATGAAATCTATAAACCTACAGATCCAAGCTCAACCAAACGCTAGCACAGGCAATATGAAGAAAGTTACAACAAGGCACATCATAACCAAATTGCTCAAAACCAATGCTAAAGAGAAATCTTAAAAGTAACCAAAGTGGGGAAAACATGTTATGCACAGAGAACATGGATAAGCGCAACAGCCTATTTCTTGTTGGGAAAAAATGCAAATGAGAAGACACTGGCGCAGCATCTTTAAAGTGCCAGGAAAAAACGCAAATCTTTCAACACAGAATTGTATACCAAGTGAAAACAGCTTTCAAATACAAAGGTGAAGCAGACCTTTCCAGACATGTAAAAAGTGAAGGCATTTTTTTTAGCTGGCTAACACTACAAGAAATGTTAAAGGGAGGTTTTCAGGCTGAAGGAAAACCACAGATGGAAATATGGGTCTATACAAAGGAACGAAAAACACTGGAAATGGTAACACAATGGGCAAGTATGTAAGACTTTCATATTTTCCATCTCTTCAAAAGATGACAGTTTAAGGAAAAATAATAACAATGTAAATGAGGGGCTTATAACATATACAAATAAAATATATGATTATAGAAGCATGAAGGTCAGGAGAGAAGAAATGGAAATATACTATTTTAAAGCTCTTGAAGATATACTGTGTGATAAAGATTTGTATTATAAACCCTAATCACTAAAACAGCAAAAGAAGTATAGATAATAAGCTAACAAACACAATAAAATGGATAAAAAAATACTAAATCTAAAAGAAAGCAGAAAAAGACAAAAAAGGAAACAAAATTGAGAAGATAAATTTAAAAAAAGCAATATGATAGACTAAAATTCTACCACATAATCATATTAAACTAAAATGGCTAATTACCCTATATAAAAGGCAGAGATGGTCATATTGGATTACAAAAAAAAAGCATGAACTTAACTGTATGTTGCCTATAAGAAACACACTTTAACTTTTACCTATTTTTGTCTTTATATTTAAAATATGAAAAAACATATACCATTCCAACACTATTAAAAGGAAGCTGGAGTGACTTTATTAATATTAAGTCAAGTAAACTGCAGAAGAATATTATCAGAAGTAAACAAAGTCATTTCATAATAATAAGAGTGTCAGTCTTTCAAGAGGACATAACAATCCTAAATATATAGGCTCCTAACACGGAGCTTAAGAGTATATGACCCAAAAACTAACAGAACTGCAACAAGAAAAAAACAAGCCTAAACATTAGTTGGAGATTTCAATACCCAAGTTTCAATAATAGATAAAATAGGTAGACAGAAAATCAGTAAGTCAACATAAGATACTATCAAGCTCATGTGGTCTAATTTATTTATAAAACAATACTTCAGTAGACAAGTGCATAATACACACACTTATCAAGGGCCCTCAAAACTTATCAAGAGGGACTATATTAAGGATCATGAAACAATTCTTAATAAATTTAAAAGGATTCAGATCATACAACGTATGTTCTCTGACCACAATGGAATTATAAAAATAGAAATCTGACAGAAGATCTCCGGAAAAATCCCTAAATATTGGATATTTAATAACTCACTTTTAAATAACCAATAAGTCAAAGAAGAAATCCAAATGGAAATTAGAAAGTGTTAAGAAAACAAAATGAAACCACAACATATTAAAATTGGTGGAATATCATCAAAGCAGTACTTAGTGGGAAATTTATGGCACTAAATATTCAGATTAGGGGAGAAGAACGGTGTCATATCAATGACCAGTTTCCACTTTAAAAAATAAAAGAGGAACAAATTAAACTCAAAATAAGTAGAAATAAATACCAGAGTGGCAATCAACGAAATAGAAAACAGATAAACAATAAACAAAAGTCAATGAAACCGGCTCAGTGGCTCAGTTGGTTAGCGTGAAGCTCTGAGCAACAGGGTCGCCAGTTCGATTCCCACATGGGCCACTGAGCTGCGCTCAAGCTCAGATGCCACTGAGCTGGTGAGAGCGCGTGCTCTTAGCAGCAAGGTTGCTGATTCAACTCCCGCATTAGATGGTGGACTGTGCTCCCCTGCAACTCGATTGAAAGCAGCAACTGGACTTGGAGCTGAGCCTGCGCCCTCCATAACTAAGATTGAAGAACAACAACTTGACTTGGAGCTGATGGGTCCTGGAAAACACAATGTTCCCCTTCCCCAATTCCCCAACACTGTTCCCCCTCCTCAATTCCCCAATAAAAATCTTAAAAAAAAAGTCAATGAAACAAAAAGTTGATTTTTTGAGATCAGTAAAATTGATAAACCATTAGCCAGACTGATTAGGGGAAAAAAAATAATATCAACTGCAGGAGTTAGGGAGGCATTATTACTTCAGGTTCTATTATATCAATATTAAAAAGATGAGGGACTATTATGAACAACTTTATGACAATAAATTCAACTAGCATGAAATGGATAAACTCTTTGAAAGACACAAACTATCAAAACTTATACAAAAGAAGTAGATAACCTAGCACTACTTCTATTAAATAAATTAAAATCGTAGTTAAAAACCTAAAAAAGAAAACTCCAGGCCCAGTTAGCCTCACTGGTGAGTTTACCCAATATCTGAAGAATACACTGATATCAGCGAAAATGGCGGAGTAAGGACTTCTGAGAATTCTCTTCCTTGAATAAGCTATGAAAAGTTGGCAAATATGGTTAGAATCCACTTTTTCAGAATTCTGTAAATTAGCCAAAAACTTGTAGCAACCCAGGGAATGTCTATTCAAACAAAAAAAAAAAAACAAAGAAAGAAAAAGAAAAAAGGTTGAATCTTGTAAGACACTGAACTTTGTGGCTTTTTAACTTGATCGAGTCTCATCCCCCACTGTTCAGCTCTATGGTGG